ATCCCCTCACAGAAGGGTCACAGGGAGGAGATGAGCCAGTCAGGGTGCAGTATAGCACAATGAAACACACAACTTTCCTCTAGTTCTTTAATGCTTCCTTACCCCACACTATCATACAAATTGGATTAGATCAGAACATGCACACTGGTACAGATAAGAGCCCACAACACAGGGAATCCAGGATCGATAAACCTCTCAGGGCCAACAATGAGAATAGAGATACCAGGAGGATTAGGGGAAGGTGCGGGGAGAAAGGGGGAATCAATCACAAGGATCAATATATAACCCCTTCCCAGGGGGATGAACACAGAAAAGTAGGTGAAGGGCAACAGAGGACAATGTAACATATGAAAATAATAATCTATAACTTATCAAGGGTTCATGAGGAGGGCGGGCGGGGGAGGGAAGGGAAAAATGAGGAGCTGATATCAAAGGCTCAAGTAGAAAGAAAATGCTTTGAAAATGATGAAGGCAGCATCCGTGCAAATGTGCTTGATACAATGATGGGTGAATGTATGTATAGTGATAAAAGATTTATGAGTCCCCAATAAAAGTATTTAATAAAAAAAAAAAGAAAGAAAGGTGTTCCAGGATACAAATAAATCTGAGCCCAGGGTGGTGTAATGTTTACATCTTGGGATGCTAACCACCAGGTCTGCAGTTTGAAACCACCCATGGCTGCTTTGAGGGGAAAAAGATGAGGCTCTCTACTCTAGTAAAGAGTTACAGTCTCAGAAACTGATGGGCAGCTTTACCCTATCCATGGTAGTTACATAATCTGCTGTCAATTTGAGACTCCAGAATGAAGAGGTGGAGGTTAGCCTGTCAATCTGGTTGCAGTTTGATGGAGCTCGCTGGAGGAGGGACACATGCTCACTCCCTGGGAGACATTACTGAGACCAGCCTGATGGTGCTATGTTGATGCAGCCAGAGTCCTGGAGCTGGAGGAGCCATGTGGCCCACACCAGCACTAAGATGCTTCCACTGTCACTGGATCCACAAGACTTTCCACCCATTGGCTTGTGATCTTCCTGCACTCAGTGTCATTGCATGTGTTGCGTGAGTCTGAAGAGGACTTTACAGACTGCTACTGGACATATTGGCTAATATCAGACTTAAGGACTTGATCTGGACTGGGCTGGGATGTCTTCTTAATGTACAATTACCCTTTTTATAAAGCTCTTTCCTGTACACATGCATGTCTTTGGGTTTGTTTCTCCAGTCAACTCAAACTAACACACTGTCCTGCAGGGTTATGATGAGTCCACATTGACTCAATGGCAGTGAGTTTGGTTTTTTTTAGGACGCCAATCTGCAACGAAGAGAGTTTAGCAGCAGTTCTCAACCTGTGGGTCGCGACCCCTTTGGGGGTCGATTCCTAACAGTAGCAAAATTACAGTTATGAAGTAGCAATGAAAATAATCTTATGGTTGGGGGGTCACCACAGCAGGAGGAACTGAATTAAAGGGTCGCACGGCATTAGGAAGGTTGAGAACCGCTGATTTAGACTCTGAAAAGTAATCTATACTAAAGAAGAACCTCCACAGTTTGTAGACTATCCTGCCGTACTCTGTGTTCCTGAGGCCTGAGCCCCGAGATTTGCTCTGGGTATGGGACTTTATAACGCATGCACGCATCATTATGTATATCTTCACATGTGAAGAAGAGTTGGCAGTTGGGGCATTTACTTGATGCATGCACCTGGCCAACCATTGGGATACAGCACTGCATCAGACTACCCTGCTGTAGGGAATATTTTCATTTGTACTGAGTAGTGTTGGGGGCCGGATGGTGGAAAACAAGTATTTGAATCCCTTCAATGCTATTGCTCCTTCAAGCTTATATACAGATGATTTCCAACAGCAATTAACCATATACAATTTGAAGAAAACAAGTCCAGAGAAAAAAAAGGGCTATCAGAACTTGGAATGGTGACAGACGCTGTTAGCTTCATCCCAGTTTGAAATTTAACTAAAGAAACATGGAATTCTCACTAAGCTATTAAAAGTACATACTCATATATTGCACTGAAAATCCACCACTTGTGAATTTTTGAGCATGCCCTGAGTACATGTGACTTGGTCTTGCTCTTTCAAAATCAGGACATTCGAGTTGCCTGATAACTTGTGCTTGCAGTAAATTCCACTATCCTTCAGCATCTGTCTTCAAATGTATGTGTGGGCTTGGGTTAGAAAAAGAAAATGACACTAAATTAACAAGATTCTCAGAACACACTGGCTGAAATAAAAGCAAATGATTTCTGATCAACTAGCAATGAGAAAAATCTGCTAAGACTTTGAGCTAAGATATGAACACTTCAAATGCTTGAAATTATAGGGGGAAATATACTCAGACAATTGAACAGAAAGCAAACATGATTCATTTAAGCTATCAGCTAGAACTCTTTAGAAAAGAGTTTATATCAGGAAAGAGCATATTTTCATTAACTTTAAATTAGCTAATACACTGGAAGTCATGTACATTGAGTCATACGTTGGAAGAGTGTTCTGTTTTGAGTCCAGAGAAACCTTTTTTTTTTTTAAGAGGAAAGATGGCTTGATGAAAACAAACAAACAAAATTTGGAAAAGGACAAAAAATGTTCCAGAGTTAAGCAACCATGCTTTTCATTGGTAAGTGGCACATGTGTGCCCCTCTATTGCTTATACACTTGCAACCCGATAATCTGTCTGTGAAGTTGTGTAAGAGACACTTGCACTTTTAAATATATTCTGAGAGATGAGAACGGTCCCTTTGCTCTCGATTGGACAGCTTTACAATACACACGTGAGCAATTTTTGCTGCCAATATGGCAAAGGTAGATTTTACTCCAGTGCCTTCTGAACACCGTCTCGCCTATATTTCGGCTCTGCTCTTCCTGGCACAAACAGACCCACCCTGTCATTACCCCCTGCAAGTTTTAAACTTCGGTTCCTTTGGGGTCTCTGCGAACACTCCCAAGATCACTGAAGAGACAAAGAGCTGTGGTGTGCGTTATGGAGATGCCCATTTTTAGTTGTAAAACAAAGCCCTCCCATTTGAGATTGGAAATCATAATGATAATGAAGGAGATGACAATAAGAGCCGAGCATAAACCCTCAGAGGTATGTCCCTGGCCAGCTCCCCCGACACCCAGACACGCCCGGTGGAGTTCTGGCCCTGGGACAATTACTCCCGAGTCCAGCTCCGAAGCTTCCTTGGAGCCTTGAGGGGGCCTTGCCAGCAGGTCCCCAGGCTGCACTCCAGGTGGGGGTGCAGCAGGCGTGCCCACTCATCCCGCTCCCCGGCCCTCGGCCCTCTCACCGCTTCACTCGGATGATCTGGTCCCGCATGGGCTTGATGTCCTGGAAGCTCTGCTGGTTGACCAGGCTGTAGACGAGGATGAAGCCCTGGCCGTTCTTGATGTACAGATCCCGCATGGACGCGAACTGTTCGGTGCCCGCCGTGTCCAGGATCTCCAGCACCGACGGCGACGAATCCACCTCGATCTCCTTGCGGTAGAAGTCCTCGATGGTGGGGTCGTATTTCTCGATGAAGGTGCCGGTCACGAACTGCACGGTCAGGGCGGACTTGCCTACCCCGCCCGAGCCCAGCACCACCACTTTGTACTCCCGCATCGTCCCGCTGC